TTCTGGGAATGGAGGGAGATGATTATCTCAAATTAATTGTGATCCTCAACAAAATACAAGTAAATATTTTTTTAAAGAGCATAAGTACAAAAAATTAGATCTGTTTCTTAAAATTCATACCATGTTTTGGTAAACATTCTCAAATGGATAATTAGTCTTTAATGGATCAGGTACAAAATGATCACTTGGTTCTTTACTAAATATAAAATACAGATGAGCTCATTTTTTTGTTTCTTCCTTTAAAGCTCTGCCTTGCCAATTCAAACTTGCTCTTATCCCAGTTTCTTGCGATAAACCATACTTTAGCAAATTAACTGGATATTTGGTTTCTATTCCATCTGTAAACCCTCAGCAGTGGAGCTGCTGATGTTTGTACAGATACAAGGCGCCTTTTTAGGAATTTATACCCCAGAACAAGTATTATGGATTTGTTGTTGGCAACAGTCCTGATTAAAGTAGGGGGTAAAAAAAAACACCCCAAATTAAAACATGGTGGTTGCAGCGTCATGCTGTGGGAACACTCATCTTAAACAGGGACCTTATAGAAGGATGACGGGAGCTGAATACAGGACCATCCTAGAAGCAAACCTCAGGGGGTCAGGATGCAAAAGACTTGAGGGTCAGGTAGAGGTTCACCTTCCATCAGGAACACACTAAACATCTCTATAGAGTGGTCTAGTCAAAGTCCAGACCCCAGTTTTACTTGAGAACAGTTACACATTAACTTGCTTCCTTGACTAATTGCTGTATGCCACAGAGCAGCAGGTTAGAGTTGCCTTTAAAGCGTCCTGTGGTTGACCCAATGTCATTTTTACACAACCTACACGTATAACTGCATAACTGAAGTCCTCTCCACTTATTGATTCCTTATTCCATTGCAGCGTATCTGCTATAAAAAGCTGCGGTGTGCTTTTTGCTAACAGAACTAGATGTTGAGGGAAATTTACAATAACAGACTAATTTATTGGTGTTTTCTGTCTGGTGTTTGAATGAGCCATGAAGACGGATTCCTGTTAAGCTGCTTTCTTAGAAACCATCCGTCTGTTACTGTCTGTATGGGGGCTATCTGAAATCAGCAAAGCTGTTGTTTTTTATTGTTCACGAAGCAAGGAGTTTAGTTTGACTTTTTTTTTCCTTTTTAACCTGCAGGTACAACTTCTTCAAGGGCTGCCCGAAGGCAAAGACATGCACCATCATCCTGAGAGGCGGAGCAGAGCAGTTCACAGAGGAGACTGAGCGATCGCTGCATGACGCCATCATGATCGTCCGCAGAGCCATCAAGGTGTGGATTTTTATATGAAGTTTGCTGGTGTTTTAGAACAGCTGTAAAGCTCCTTCATGGATTTGGCTGCAGAGATTAGTTTTGGTTATTTATAGAAGAGAAATTGCTGAACAATTCACATTCACAGTGTCTAGTTTCATTTTTAAGGCAGATTGTTAAACAGCAAGAAGAAACACTCTGCAACCAGAGGAATAAAGCAACACTAGAATCCAAAATGAGAATTTGTAGAGAAATATCCACCAAGATAAGAGCAACAAAGGCTGTTGTATAGTTTAGCTTGTTGGAATCAGAGCGGAGTTTGCTTTTCTAAACAGCATCTAATGTATATTTCAACAAGAAATTGTAAAACAAAAAAAGTCAAATGTTTTTCTTCAGGGTTTGATTCACATCATTGGAATGACTTCCAAAAATGAACCAAAAAATACACAAACCTTTATTTACTGGATCTCCTGTGACACCAGCTCTAAATCTAATTGAAAAGCTGTAGTAGGGGTTGAAAATGGATGTTTGTAGCCCCTCTGCATCCTCTCTCTGTGCTTGAGCTATTTGCTAAAAAATAAAGGCTGACTTTTCTGTCACTTGATGTGGAAACCTGATGGAAACACGTTGACGATGACTTGCAGCTTTAATTATCAGAGGGTGCTGAATGCATGGTATGAATACTGCCACATTTTCCATAATCCTGCTTGTAAAAATATAGGATTTGACCAGTTGTTCACTACTTTTTGTTGGTTGCTCAAAATTTGAGTCATACCCTCAAGAGCTGTGTCCTGACTTGGCTAAATGTGAAGCCTTATCTCTTTCCAGAATGACTCTATTGTCGCAGGTGGAGGGGCCATTGAGATGGAGCTGTCCAAATACCTACGCGATTACTCCAGGACCATCCCTGGAAAGCAGCAGCTGCTGATCGGAGCATATGCCAAGGCCCTGGAAATCATTCCCAGGCAGCTGTGTGACAACGCCGGCTTTGACGCCACCAACATCCTCAACAAGCTGCGAGCAAAACATGCACAGGTAAATGAAATGTTAAAGCTCCCATTTTTTCTGGTTTAGGGTAGTATTTTTTTCCCACAGCAGTATTCATTGTGCTTTTATCCCAGGGTGGCATCTGGTACGGTGTGGATATTAACAGCGAGGACATCACTGATAACTTCGTCGCCTGCGTGTGGGAGCCTTCCATCGTAAAGATCAACGCTCTGACAGCGGCGTCTGAGGCAGCCTGTCTCATCCTGTCGGTCGACGAGACGATCAAGAACCCCCGCAGCAGCGTAGATGGACCTCCAGGTGGCGCCGGGAGGGGGAGAGGCCGCGGGCGCCCCCACGCTCACTAACAGAAGCCTGATGATGTTTAAATCCAAACACAGATACAGGTGGAGCGTTTCTGGACGCTGTTTTTTGTTGATGTTTGAGAGGAAAAACAGCAGGAGTTAGAGAGGTGATGTTCATGATCTGTTTCACTCCAGATTCTGTGGACTTTCTTCTTGCCTTTTTGTTTCCTCTTGTAGTTTTTGACCAGGCAACTAAAACATTTCAGTCACTTGCTCTGCCTTCCTGTAGCCAGTAATGACAGCCGCTTGACCACAATTTGGGACCCTTCGGGCCAGTCATACATCTGATCTGACAGAGGCGGCCTGTAACCTTCAACCTGGTTTTGTTTAAAGAAAAAGTAAAACTGTCGTTCAATGTGGGCGGGGTTAAAAAGCACTGAAAGGATGTTAAGCAGTTCTGAAACCATCTATGTGAAGCTATTTATTGGACCATTCTTATCAATAAATTCACAGCTGAAATTAAACCGTCTGTTCTTTGTGTTTATGTACAAAGTTAAAACAATGATGCATTTTGTTAGAAATGAAATTAGTATGGAACTGATAACATCTTTAGTAAACAAGGTGCTGCTCTGGTCTGTTTGGACTGAAGCTGAGCTTAAAAGCTGAAATTATTGGTCCATTCATGTTTTTCACTCACCAATCACCATGAGATATTTATCACAGCGCCAAATAAGTGGCTGAGGCTAGCTTTATCTTTTGGGCGGTTGGACTATGTTAGAGATAAGACGTAGAGACCAATTATCTAGGGGGCAGTCTGAGTTCAACTTCTGCTTTTTCCACATTTAAGAAGCCGTCTGCCGAGCTTCCAAGAAGGCGTCTCCTTTATGGACCCAAAAACCCTTTAGAACTATATACAATTTATATTCACTCTAAATACTTTGTCAGTTACTTATTTTCATCTTCTAAATGCTACCATTTGTTTCTCTCTTCAAATTCAGACGTTTACATATGATACTGCTTTTCCATAATAACGGCAAAAACTTGTAGCTTTAAGGCATCTGATGGATTTTGGTTAGTGAAGCATCTAAATTTTGCATCGTGTTGCAGGTACGCTTAGCCTGAGAACACTTTCCCAGTAATGAGGTACAATGATAGCAGTATCATTAATTTTTTTTTTTAGGAAGGACTAATGCACTTGACAAAACAGATAATATACTGTGTTAAGAATATTAAACCAACATCTCGGGGTAACAGCAGTTAGAACCTGGGCCCAAATGGGTCCCTTAAATAAAAAATGACCCCTAATTTATCGGCTTATTCATCACTAAGAGGCTTAAGAAGAAAGTCACAATTCTATAATAGCCGCCACAAAGTACTGGTCTCAGCCTTATAGACAATAGTAAGGAAAGTTATATAGGTATAAACAAGGGAGACTACAAACCCAGTTGTCTGAAGAAATGGGCCAAAGTGGCAGTAATCGTGAAGTAGCTTTTATAGGGATTTTATTTTACGGGGAAATAACATATTTTTAAAGATGGAATCAGATATAAGTCCCGGGTTTGAACTCTGGATTTTGCATTTTCTCCCTGTTCATTTGTGGGTTCTCTCCAGATACTCTTCCATCCAAACTTCTGTCCTTCATTTTTGACGTGTCCAACATACGGGGCTAAATTGTATCCCGTTTCTTCAAAGTCCTGCTAATGGCATCATTGTTACATTCATGTATTTTAAAACATCAAGAACCAAGGAGTTGGGACTAGATTTTTCATCACGTCCTTAAAAAACACTTCAGGTGGCGTTCCTTATCCGTGTCTCTCACACAATCAACCTTGCTATATCTGCAGAATTTGGACTTATACTTCCATTGCCAACAGTTCTTCCAGTAAGTCAACTTATATACCGAAAAATATCTTTGCAGAACCTCACAAAAATACCATGATCATAAGAGTCTGGGTCAAAGCAGTAGAAAGTAAGAAACTGTTTTGTTTTTCCCTGCCTCCACACACCTGACTTTAATAAATAAGTGATCAACCAGCCCCTGCAGCTCTTGATTGCTGCTAAGAAGTTTATGCAGTTATTTGATTCAGATGTTCTGGAGAAGAGACAATAAAACATGCAAGAATTTGGGTGGTGAGGACCAGGGTTGAGAGATCTTGAACCACCAGCAATTTTTCTTTTTGTCCAGAACATTGACTGAGGTGTGGTTGGCTCTTCTAGCAATGTAGAGGCAACGAGTCATGGATTGGCTAAGCTTTAGAGTAGAAAATCTGTGACGAAAACCAAGATGTGACCTAAAATCCTGTGATTTGTGAAAACCCAGTCACCATCAAGAAGAAGGTTCTTAGCCTTTCATGTGTTTGAGCTTCATTATATGCAGGGTTTTTGTTTTTTAAATTGACAATTTTTTCCCCCTTAAAAATGAAACCTCCATCAAAACTAGCACACTGTCCTTCATTTTGTAAAAGTGTAATCTTAAGCAGATCATAGCTGAGTAAAATTTCTATATAAAATTTAGAAAAATGCTTTAAAACACAAACCAGACTTCATTTGGACTAAACAAATCAGACTCAACTAAATATTTAACACCATAGCAGTGGTATGTCGCTGTCAAAAACATTCAAATGGAGATAATGCCACAATCCTTCAGTAAATGCATATATTTTAGCTTGTAGTTTTGTCATCTTACCACTAGATGGAGCACTACCTTATTAGATAACATGATAGTCCAGTAAGGTTTCATATAAGGACTTAAATGAGGTACTGAGTATCATATGAGGATAAAATAAACATTCTAGGTAGTATACTTCGTAGGGTCTATAGGTGATTCATTCCTTGGTGTTGATAAGCAATACTTAGGATAACTCTGTTCCAGCATTTCACTCTTGAATCAAAGAGTCTTCCCATTTCTGTCCAGAGAATGTTGAACAGGAAAGTTCATGAAAATGTTCAATGCTGACTGAACATCATAAACTCTCTGCGTTAAATCAGTTGTGTTGATTTCAAGTCTCATCAGGCTGCTGCCCTACTTTAGTTGGACAGGAAGTCTATGGAAGCCTGGACAGACCTGTTAGACATGATGTCAACTGCGGTGACTTTGATCTCCGTATCTCCAAACTGCATGGTAGCTCTGATCTCCCTCCTTTCTGGCCCAGCCACTACTGCTCCTGCTCCTCCCACCGCTCCAGGTGGTGCCGACGGTTCCGGTAAGTCTAAGGTTATTGTCCCACACTTCCTGACGCCCGGATCAGAGATATAGGTGATATCATCTTTTGAGCTGCAGTAGATGTTAATGATGATCTTTCGCTGGCCCACCCTAGCAGGTGTGTAGCTTCGTCGAACGACCTCCCCTAGAGCCACTGACTGGTCTACGGAGACAAAGCGGTCAAAGATGTCCGTGCACCACTCGCGTCCATCCTTGATGAGAAGCTTTTCCCGAGGGTGTCGTCCTTCCACGAAGCGGTTGAGGACGCCCACTCCGTAGGTCACAGGGCACCGTCGCACTCGGACCTGCGACAGATTGAGCCATTACAACAAGAATCATAGCACTACTCCAACACTAACTTTTATTTTCCAGTCCTTTACCACAGTGGGATCTAGCCCAAAGAGAACGGCACCCTTCAGGATGGTTAGGCCAACATCATGGGGGATGATGATGCGACAGGTCCTTCCCAGTGCTCTTTGGACTGCTTTCTGTAACATTGGTGATTCTGCAAAACCACCAACCAGGAACAGGAAGCGGACACCACAGACCTCTGGCTTCCCCATCAACTCCTCTGCCAGAAGAGAAGAAACCCTGTCATTAAACCGTTGAAGAGTTTGACCTTCTGGTTACAACTTCTATGATGCAAAAATCCTGTTTTCTGTTCCCTACCATATTTGCATACTGTTACGCTAGCATCCTGTTAATGTACCACTGGAATGTGGCTGTTTCAAAATAGGACATTTCTTCATCTGCCAGTGTCAGAAACTGTACAATAGCTAAACTGACAGACTACCTTACAACTTAATTATTTATTTTGCCGATAATCCCTAAGGATAGGCCAATACAGATCTCATCATGGACAATTTTTGCTTCCCAACATGTTTTTTGTGTTGTATTTTTTTTCACAAACTAATTTGTACATAGACTGGATGTAGGGAATGTTTACTCCATATTGTCCATCCGTTTTTTCTTGGTGTCTTTCTCACCTATATGTTTGACTATCTTGCTGATGGTGGGCTGGAAGAGCTCATTCATTGCTTCCTGTGTCAGCCGTAGCATCCCCTGAGACGACCACTTCACAATGTTCATACTGACAGAAGGAATATAAAAAAAGATTCTTGTTGAACTTTGCAAACAAAAACCGGCAATAACATCAGACTACTTCTTGGTGCTCTTCAGCCTCACGCACTTGCTTCTCCTCAGAGCAGCCTCCACGCTCTGTCCTCTGTGTCTCTTGTAGAAGTCAATGAAGGAGAAGGGCAGAGATATATTCAGGGCGTTGGCTCTTCCTGGGGACGCCGTCCGTTTCCTCGCCTCAAAAGCAATCATGAGGTCCACCCAGGCTGCCGGTCGCTTGGCTTTGAAGCTGTGAATGAAGTCCTCACCGAAGATCTGGCACAACATGGCTTCGAAGGCCAAGTCCACCCCGACTGCACCGTATGGACCCCCTGGAAGACACTTTGAAGTTTTAGAAACATGTCTATACTCTTTCTTGAGTCTGGTAGTGAAATAGTATACCTGAGGCTTTGTAGAGCTCTTTAAGGGTCCCCTGTGGCTGTTCAATCTGATGAACTGTCAGGTCAACTGTTCCTCCGCCACAGTCCGCAACAACGTACCTGTCACCTACAGAAAGTCAGCAGAATGTATTTTCTTGTAACAAATTTTTTTTTTTTTAAGATTTTGCCATTGAGCTGTCAAATCCTTTAATCGTTCTTTATTCTCACTTTATATGTTCTTACCATATCCTTGCTGGAATTTTTACCAATGTACTTTTCCTTGTCATAAACCATGGTTTTGTAACCTGCAGCAACAGAGCCATGAGTGGCTCTCTAACTTCTACAATGGCTCTTAACAGTGGCTTAAAATGATGTAAAGAAGCAACTAATGTAGTATGATAAATAACAGCCCCTGAAGCTTAAAACTTTTTAATATTTGACTAAATGTTTGGAACAGAAATATGTTAAGAGAACCAGAAATATATTTTTAGATCTACCTGACTGATCGTTAGCTACAACAGCGACAAGGAACCAGCGACGACAAGGAACCAGCGACGACAAGGAACCAGCAAAGAGTGACAGCAGAGGGAGAGTATATATGGCTGACTAAACAAAGGCAGGGCTAACGAGCCTACAAGGAGCAGGTGTGAGTGGAGAGCAGTCTAGGAAGCAGCTAGGGAAAAGGAGACCAACACAAGAGGGCAACAAATAAAAATCAAAGAACTCGTATATCCAGAAAAAACAAAACAAAATATGAATTAAACCAATAAAATTAGAAAACATGGAGCAAAGTAAAGCATAACAGAACCATAACCATGACAATCATTAGCTCAGTTTTTTTTGTTTTATTTTATTTCTAATATTATAATTTTTTACATCAAATAATATCTTATGGAAGAAAATCCATTCTTCAACTTTATGAAACGTTTTATGTTTTCCCTTTTTTGAAAGCTGAAGATAAAGATAAACTATTGGTTGTTTGAAATGGCAACAGGCTTCCTAAATCAGCTATTTGACAAAGAAATTAAAAGCTGTGTTTTATTACAGAGTTATAACATATATGCGGCTCTAAATGACTTTTATTCAGCCAAACATTGCGCAAAATGGCTCTTTGCATTTTAAAGAATGCAGGACCTTGTCTTAAAAAATACTTGCTGTTTCTCCAGTGGATTGGAAAGGTGTTTAACTTGTGGTGTAGGGGGTGTACTTGTGTGTCTCCACAAGCTTTGCTAACATCATGATTAACATTTTGCTTATTATTCGTTACAAAAACAAATTTTAACCCTGAGTCCTCTTCTGGTTTTTTTTACAGCGTTTTATATTTTCTTTATTTTCCTTATCATTTTGGGTGCTATTTGCAGGAGATATTTCTTAAAATCCCTTTTACATCTGCTATTGAGTGTTAAAAGAAAAAACCCTTTCATGAATTTAACCCTTTATATGTTTTCAATATATTTTTTTTTTACTAAATAAAGGTAATTATTGTTTTTTAGAACAAATAGTGAGTTTTTTGGACTTTGCTTAGGGGGAAACACTGAATTGTCAAAGATTAGCAGTAAAACATATTTATTTGTCGCATCAGTATTCCTGGTATCGTGTCAGAAACTTACACTCAACACCGTCATGGCCATACAAGTCTGATACGTTTCCATTAGGATCACATTTTTTTAATCCAAGACTCACCCAAGAATAAAACCATGGATTTTATAATGGTAGCTTCTCATTGTGTAGAAGAATAGTGATATTTATAATTTAAGGCTTTGTCTATGTGCAATTGAACTAAAAAAAATGTGTGTTTGTATTATAACGTGACAAACTTCAAGAATATTACTGTAAGGCACTATAAAATGTTTAAGATCACAGATAAATCCGAATGATTTGCTCCTGAAGATCTTCCTTTGAATGTTTTAAGAGGCCATGTGTGTTTTGTTGATTTATCTTAAGGTTTTAAACCAATAAACAACCTTCAGGCTTGAGTAATGGCTGTTTGTCTGATAGTGTTTATGATCTGCATGGAGATAAGGACTTCACACGGACAGAGTTCTTAGGTGTGAGGAACTGAGATAAATGATATGAATAGATCTGCAAAGAGGCGACAAATAAATGCAAGAGTTTAAGACAAAGGAAGCTTTCTCATATTCCCTTGTTGGATTTATAGAGTAGGGGCAAGAGAGTCCCACGGGTTGGGTCCATCCTGTGTGTGTTTGGACAAGAATGAGAGCAGAGAAGGTCAGTAGGGCCACGTGGCTCCTCTGACTGTTGTTATTGCACAAGAGAGAAAGAAACGAGTTGGGGGGCAACTTGATTTCTCCCCTGGAAGGGTTTTTTTCTAATCAACAATGCATTATTGATATTTAAATCTCACAATCAGGTCAATCGGTACATATTGTCGGAGAGGAGTAATAAACATTGCTTCATTTTCTGGGAGAAAAATAAGTAAAACACAATTTAACTGAAAGTAGCCCCTCCCCCTCAACACACATTAAGAACGTGGATGTCCCTGCACAACATAGGCAGCATGTTAAAGGTCAAAACCATCAGTATGTTCAAATAGAGGGGCCCGTCAGAGGCACTCACCGGTCTGTAGCTCGGACCACAGCTCCCCTGTTCCACTCTCCACCAAAAAGGTCCTGCTGTGTCTGGATCGTCTCAGCTGCTCCCTCGCTGCAACAAACAGGTCATCGATTTTAAAGGCTCGAGGTTAAAAGGTTGATTGTTTATTTAGGATATATGCATACTAAAAAGGTACATCACTTCCTTTTGAAGATTGTTTTCCTTGTAAGATTGGTTCTAATGTGTTCATTTTCTTTCATCAAGCTTTATGTAATAGTTTGCTGGAATTAGAGCCCATTCCTTGACAGAACAGCTGTAACTAAGTCATGTTTGCTTGGCCTCTGGTCTTCTAAGAGACTGAGAAGGTTGCTTTGTGACGGCCAAATAAACAAATGACTTCATCGCTTTAAAGTCCCCTTTTTTAACTGGTTTGGTGGAATGCGGTCCATTTAGTAGACCGGTTTGTGCCAAAGCGTTTGGGCTGTCTTCAAACTTTCCCATAACAATTATTATTGGTGATACAGTCTTATTCGTAAAGTGCACCATTCCCTCCTGCAGCAACGCAAACCCAAGACATGTTGCTACCACCCCTGTACATTACAGTTAGGAGGTGGTAGCTATGAATGTTTCCCTTTTTCTTTTTAGTGAAGCTGTTTATGAAAAAACACTTGGATAATAGTTTCTTTATTTCAAAGATCATACTTTAAAAATGTAAATTATTTGTCTCAATATCAATTTACAAATTGTAATTTATATTTTATGTTACTTTTGGAGTAATGGCTTCTTCCTCTTTGAGCAGCTCTTCCGTCTAATGTCATTAGAAAGACCAAATTAACTGTGGTAAATATTAATCTGTTTCTAGCTTTCACCAACCCCTTCACATGGTCCTCTGGTTTCGTTCTGGGCTTGATTCACATATCTCACATCAAAATTTCATCTTCTAGTATCTGAGAAATCTACGCAAGGAGGAGGCAGACTTGATCTATTTGGGTTTTTCCTCAAAGGGGAAATATGTATTTATATATTTATATGGGAAGCACTCTAAAAAGTTTCTCAGGGTCTTTGCAAGAAGATCAGACCAATGGCATGACGGATCGTCCACCAAACTAAACCAAAACTTTTTCACACATTTAAACACATTTTACTTCTGTAACATTTTGTCAGATTGTAATATGTTTAATTTTTCATTGTCTTTTATCTCCTATTCCTTTAAAATTAGTTGTAAATAATTAAACACTGCTGTTATTCTTAGAAATAATGTTGATGCACATGTAACGCCCTGGTGCACCTTGCACTTTGCTTTGTTTCACATCTTGGCCAGGACAACCTTGTGAAAGGGATAAAAAAAATAATGAATGGATCTTTCTTTTCTGGTAAAATAAAGGTAAAATAAATGAAAAATGGCGTTGATTCCCTAGAAACCCTAATAAGCTTAAAAACATAAATTTTAAACTAAAATTATGTTCCAGTAAAGGTACTTAATCTTTTAACTCAACTCAACTTTATAGATAAAGCTGCCACAAAATGCTGTACATTCAATCCAGTTCAAATTCAAAAATACCTAATTAATGTCAAAGGGAAAGTAAGTGTTGCAAGTAAAGTTAAAATTGTATAAAAAAACATAGAAATTTAAAGGAATAAAACAATTTAATAAAATTAATTTATTAAAACAAATAAAAACATGAAAAAAACTAAAACTAAAACACAAAAACAGATCTAATTTCATGCTGTGTAAAAAAAAACAAAGAATAAAAATAGTTTTGTTTTTAAAGGCATATTTAGAAAGGGGGGATTGATAAGGGGTAAACTGACTATGAAGATAAAAAATCTTTCAATCATAACTTTTTACCTTGGATTTTTTTTTGTCCAGTCAACAGATATTCTTCTGATTAAAGACTTTTGTTCCTAAAATCAAATTTGTTTTGAACTTTTTCCACATCCCTACAGAATTTGCCTTCACTCTTCAGTAGAGGATATATGTTTTGGTAAAAACACATATTCCTATATTCCTCTTTCTGAAGTCCAGACTGAGTAGCATTGCGTCATTTTGTCAAGACAAGCTCTACATCTCCATCATAGGAGTTTTTAGCCTATTTTTGGGGTTACTGAAGTGACCCTAATCAAAGCACCCCTAAAAAAGGGGTGAACATCCTCCATTATACCTTTAGTTGTTTTTTCTTTTAATTGTATGCGCTTTTTACAATAAAAGAAAAAGTGACATTGTGAAAACTATACAGTACTTGGTTATTTAACCCCTTCAATTCTGTTCTGGTTAATCAGAAATAATAATAAATAAAGAAAAAACAAATAAACAAGCCTGATGGAGCTCCTTCACAAAAATGTTGACCAACGCTTTGAGGATAACGCTACATTGTGGTGTTTCTGAAATGTTCAGTCAGATTTCTGCACCTATTGATGGTTTGTTGGTGAAATGTTCATCAGGTAGGTGCTCTAATGTGTCTGAGTCTGGTTTGTTTGGTTATATTTAAAGCCACAACTCACTATTAATATTTGAATTAACTGAATCATTAGTAAATCCTTATAAATTGAACTTGAACTAATTTTATGAATGTCAGTCTAAAGGTGGAGCAGAGGAGCAAGGTGTGCACAAAGTGAAAGTTCAGGAAAAACCAGGAAAGACAACAGACAGAATAGCAACAGTTGTTAAACTGGCAAAGAAAAACATTTCATTCAGTAGATTATTTTACAAATATCATGGAAGTAATGTTGGCACACAAAAGAGAAAACTAATTTCATGAAAACTGATTCAAAAGTTTCCATGAAAATAGTTGATTTACTGTAAAAGCTTGTTTTGCTTTTTGGGTTTTTGGCACAAGTCTCAGATGCATTAGTGAATGATTGAGTAAATATTAGCAAAACTCACTTAACAAGTTTCAAAAATATGTTAATAAAACAGTGAAATTAATCTTGTCTGGTCAGACAGCTCTCTGGGTGCTCAGCACCCCTAAACCTCAGGTCCTAGAATCGCTCCTTATCTCCATCTTAACATTTTGTTCCATCCATTAACAAGGTGCTTTTGTGGAGAAAACTCACATATCTGCAAGTTTAGTAGTAATAATAACATAAAGTTTGATGTCAGTCAGGTTGCTTGAAGCTTAAAGATCTTCAGGAGATCCAAACTCCTTATATGATCAGAATTACTTAAACAAGATCTGACCTGTGCATCATAATTGTAGAAGAATTTAAACAGAAGTTGCTGCATATTTTAAGGTGCACACAGATTTCGAAATTATGGCTCAAATGTGTTTGATTTTATGACCTCTTTAATCAAACAGCCTAACTTTATCGGCTTCATGGACACCTGGAAGTAGTCATCATCACCCTCCAGTGCCTCACTCAGCTTCTTTGGCTGTCAAACCTTTTTTTTTTCTTTGTGTAAACACACTTAGAGTAAAATCACTGAAGACGAAAGCAGCTCAGTCAAAAACATAAACACAGCCCACTTCAATCTACATGTAAAGCATAAACAAGTCACAAAGCCGGAGACCTCTTTACACATGTGCTTGAACCAAACCTAAAAATTTTGATCCAAGTAAAACAGCACCGGCGTGAGGTTTTGGAAACGGCCTTGCTCAGGTTTCAATTTCTTTGTTTGTTGCGGTGACTGGTGGGTCGACCAAGGGCCAACGAAAGCAAGAGCATGTTCAAACGTAGCTGGAGGAGGCGAGATGTGCCACTTTGATACATATACCCCCCTCCAAAATTAGTAAATACACATAAAAGAAATGGTATGGTGATTAGTTGTTAATTTTGAACCCTTGTTTTTGCAGTTTTTAATGATGATGGTATAATTCTGAATTTGTAAAATTCCTTTAACCCTTTAAAACCAATTGTATCATATTTGATATGATATGATATGATTTGACTTACACAATCAGACACATGTAATGAACAGAAAACCTATATAATATTCTACAAAAATGCCTAATGTATCAAAATTGATGCAAATAAATGATCAAATTTAACTTATACAAAATATATATATGTCACAGTCTTGGTTTTCCATTTGTTGTCCTCTGCTGCCCTCTTGTGTCCTCTATCCCTAGCTCTGTTTTCTGCTCTGCCCTCACCTGTTTTCAATCCTCTCGTTAGCCCTCTCTTTGTCTCTGTCCCCTTTAAAAGCCTCCCTCTTCAGTTCCTGTTTGCTGGATCCTTGTCTAATGTCTGTCTGCCTACCTCGTCTCTCCCTGGTTCCTAGAGTTTGGTTTTCTCCTGATGGTTCGTTTGTTATTTTTTGATGGATTTTTGATTCCTGCCTCAGTTCCTGTGAACCTCATTAAACCCACCTAAATTCACCTCTGCCTACTTGCCTCTGCATTTGGGTCCTCAAACCAACACCAAAACCTGACAATATATTCTTTTTTTCATTTTTCAGAGAGTTCAATGACAACTCTAAATACAAAAATTGAATTTTCTGTCAATTATTTCATGGTCCAGGCTTTAAGGGTTAAACTGGTTTATTCCCTTGGATGAACCTAGTTTGTGTGTTATAAATAGGGCCGGGCTCAAAGCTATAAGGAGGCTTCCCAGAAAGCTTAACATTAGCCGTCTAAAGCTAGATTCAGTGTAGGTTTTTGGGCTTGTTGTCTAATTGCTTGAAATGTTTCAGAACAACCCATTGGAAATACATGTTCAAGGTCAGTTCTCTGGATATTAAAGGTATAGAGGAGGATTTTCTTGAATTTTTGAAAAGACCCATCCTCTCCACTTAAAAGAAATGCTCATGCATCACCCTGTACCCGCTCCTGAGAGGGAACGCCTATTAAACGCATGTGAGAGCGTGCACGAGCCCATTTCTCCTCTTGAACGCTCTGTTTAGAAGTTCCTGTTTGCATCTCTCAAACAAGCTTACTTTCCAGAAGATTTGCAATTTTTCCACTATGTCAGACTCACCACTATTAAGTGAAAATGTGGACGAGCTTGTAGGACGGTTTTACGTAAACACATCAGCAGAATGATTGACAATTAGGAGGACCACTTATTTTGATGATCCACCTGGAAAAAGAACATCCTCCGTTATACCTTTAGGATGTGATGTGTATGTTAAACTTAAGCCTGTATATGTAATTGATTCAATCACACACATTCCT